TTTATTCATTCATGAAATCATCCATTTGAAACAAACAAAACTGCTAATCAATAATATAATTCTCAATTCTTCGTTTGTTGCTTATCACAATAATTTTTCACATTCTTTGGCTGTGGCATTTCTGGGTTGGTGTTCACCTTGAATATGAGCGTTCTCAATTCGGTTCCTTTGAAAATTTTGAAAAGAGATCATCCATCGAGTGCGAATTGCTTAGTAAGTTTCAACTGAACTAAATTGCAAACAAGAGCGGCGCAAAACTGTGCCAGCATTGAATCTAGCACATTCAGTCCCATTGTGGAAGTAATTTTCATTGATCTCTAATGATTTTTTCCAATGACAAATTGCGTGAAGATTCCTTCGAATAGCAGTTGATTCATAAATTTTCTATTTGTGTTGGAATAAACATTTTCAAGAACCACCTCATATCAAGACAACACAAATATGCCACAGGTTTGATTACGGTATGCAATCTCAACAATTAGAACAAAAAAAAATTTGGTTTCATTCTCATCACAGTCATATCCTGAATGTATGTAACTTCTCAGGGCATTACAACCAAAACAACTGCAATTGTTTGGAGGGGTACATCCTTATTAGATGAACACCACCAATCACTATCAGTGGTTCGGGCGAAAAATTTTGAAAGCAGGCTGAAATTGTTCGTTGATATGCATATCTGATACAGAGAAGAGGTGCGGAACATTGAAAAAATGCGAAAAATTATAGTGTGGTGGAATCAATCTTGAGAATAACACACTTCTGCAATACGTCGAGATTCACCGAACATTTAACGCTAAACGAACGGTTGATTGCGACGCACTTTGAAAATGTCTCATTTCACACAATGTAATCCTTATCACATCAATCAAAACTTCACGGAACTAGACAAAAACGTATGAAAAAGAGCTAAAAAACTTGCAGCCTCAGAATACAAACGAGGTGATTGAGACACCTAAGCTCATGCGCATTCAAGTTCATCTCAAAGAAACTATACGAAACAATATCAAATCGATGCCTACTGTTAACTTTCGATATAAGTGAGCTCAACATAATATAAATGCAACCCTATTCATACAGTTCTTGAAACGCTCTTCTTTTGATATGATCGGAGAGGAACGAATACATTAAAATACTGATTGAAAATGATCAAGCAATCGAATCGTGAACATTAATTTTTAGAGATCAGTAATCTGATCGAATAGTTCTGATGAATTGAATGAAGCGGACAGACGATAATTTATAACGAGAAAATCATACAAACAAGAAATTTTCTGATAACTTTAATGCCACAATGAAATGGAATGGTCCGAAGAGATGATGAGTATTAACAGATAAAACAGAGCCTTGAGACGGCTGGATGAGAAATACGGAAAAGATAAGAAAAGGAAGAGAAGAGTCGCGGGAGACGACAGCGCAACCAGCTTCGGCTACGGAAGAGCGCCGTTGGGTTGCCGCCTCTCGGATCCAGCACCCGAACCATCAACCGTCTTGAAAACAGGCGAACGCGTCAATCGCGCCAGTACATTCGGGTCACTCAGCTTCTGCTTTGGCACATCCATCAGCCTTCTTGCACTAAAATGTTTTCTTCAAACCAATCACTCACATCGTTCCAAATGACTATCATCAAAAGTGTACTTATATGATATTGAAAGGTTGAAACTGCTAATGTGCAGTAGTAATCTATTGACGTTTCATCTGACTAAGTTGAAGATTAAAGAGACAGATTCATCAAAATGACGTGAAAGTACCGACGTGCGCATTCCATCGAGGTCATCTTGGGCAATAAGTTTTCTAGTGGATAATCCTTGTTTGAGTGCCTCTTGCAACGAACGCATCTCGCCAAGACCATCTCCACCAATCACAGTTTGCTTGCGTTTCGAAAAGCCGATATGGTTTGCATGTGGTGAACCACTCACTGCTATAGGGCCGTTACCTTGCAATTGCGGTTGACTTTCTTCGACATCAACTGACAAAGCTCGCAGTGTTTGTGTTTTCAGTGAGTCTGGCTTGAAACAAATCATGATTACAATCATGTTTGGTCGGTAAACATGAGCAAATCAGCGAGTAGCGATTACAAACCAACAGCCTTCCGTATCATGCCCGGAACGATCAAGAGATATGCGTCAGGAAAGGTATCCGTCTTGAAAGTATAACCCCAAAGCAAATATTCGAAGTAAACCCGAAGAAATTCCACATTGAATCATTATATATTTTGGATGTGTTATGGCGACCCCACACTGGGACAAGCCTCAACGAAAAGCAAAAGCTGGAATGGAAAAGGGCTATCAATAAAAAGATGACCAACCCTACAGACGTTTAATGGAATAGCGCTCTTGCGTGGTGGGTACATAGCGGTTGCGAGATGAGAAGATGGTGGAGGGTCGGTGATTAAGTGAGACAGATTCGGATTTCGTTTCCTGACGTCCAGATTGTTAGGTCGAATCACTGTTATAACACTGCAATTGATAGTTTGCATCTATGCGCACAATTTTGTTTTACTTTGAAGCACCACTTTTCACTACTATAAGTACATACAACATCTGTTCAATGCACAACCTCATCAAAATTCGTGTCCCAATATTAATAACTCTCTTCACATCAGCTATCCTAAAGCAGGACTGAATGACTGAAGTAATAAAAGCATTCGCTTAAAACTTTTATCCTTCTAGCAATCTCGTTATTTTGCTTTCAGCAGCCAAGGTTGCTATTTTATTTAAGCAATATGAAAAATGATGATATATGTAATGTTCATTAAATTGAGTGCAAATGATTGTTGTTGTGGTTTGATTGAGCACACTTGAACATTCTGTTAATGTATTATGAAGCTTAGAGATAGCGTTTTTCCAGAAAAGAAGACGATAAGCCAACACGTGGGCACATGACATGATGGCTTTTTATGATAGATGAAAGTGTTAGCGTCGTAGCGAACTGATCAGCAGCAGCACCACCTCAGAATTAAGCTGTGAGTGAGCAACGAAATCAATCACCTTGAATCCTTATCGTCCTCTGCGAACAACGACTCAATGCTTCGCGGCTGATCAATGTGACCACTACTGGTTGGCTCTTCGAATGTTGACATTTGCCGAAGTTTACCACTCGTCTTCCGTCTCGAACTATCTTCCGATTCATCTGGTCGTGTTCCCCTAGATGATGAACTACTGAGAATGGGCTCATCTACTGTTTAGGACATAGACACATGTATGATTATTAGGAGAGCTTTAACCGGTTATATATGAAGCTTAATTAGTGTGGACGCTTTTTCAACTGCGGATTCAGTGGCATGCCATGTCATAATANAACTTTGCCGCAATTGATAGCTTATGAATGCTCATAAAGTAGATGTATATGAGGGTAATTGCAATCAGCATTAATGTCTGATTGAACGAATGAAACGATAATGGTTAAAATCATTCACTTTTGATGTTGTGCGTGGAGTCATTATGTGAAAAATCTTGCCATGATTACGGACCATTTCTGTTTAAACGGTAAATCGAATGAATGTTCATAAGAAAACCTATTTTGATAGATTCATCTACAAGCGTGGAGTGAGGGATTAAATTGAAGTATTGAAAGAGCAACGAACTCGTCGTTTCCTCGTTCATCCCTCTTGGATGCTTCATCAATTGGGTTGTCCTCAGCCTCCTCAGTAATACCACTCGTATTCTCAGTAGTATCTCGGCGGAGTTTTGGATTGAACGACATACGATTAAATTCACGCTCCCTCAGCACACCACTCATCTTTTCCTTCACTCTCTTTTGAACTACTGGTGACGTGGATGCTCCCGCCTGTTGCTCATCTTCAACAATCACCTAAATATTAAAAATATTTCTTGTCACTCATCATGGCCCATACAATCTTCTACTCTAAACTGGTTCCTAGTAATATGTTTATTTCATAGATCTGTTTCACCATGTCCCCAATTCTTGCAGTCAAATTGTTAACGGAAGCAAATGAATCGTTCATTCGAATGTTGATCTGAATGTAAAATTACCTTTGAAGAAGCATCAGATTTCTTATTTGTGGGTGTATATTGCATATAGCTAGGAATGTAGTTTAAGGGCAATGGTTGAGCAGAAAAGAAGGACGATAAATTTGGCATGACTTGAGGATTTGACATTAACACGTCGAGAGGCGGAAGTGGCGGTGACGCCCTTTCTTGCGTTGGTCTTCTTGATGACGCCTTTTCATACTGATCCGAAGAACTGTAGTCAGTTGTATCCTTAATTGAATATTATAACTGAAACATGAACTTGATCGCTCAGTTATGAACTAGGACATCTAATCCCAACCGACCACCGAAAGCAGAACGTTTCAGCGCCAGTCGTTTTGATAGGTCGGGAGCACACGGAGTGAATGTTCCAAACTAGACCCTGCATGCCTGAGCTGAAATAGAGGAACTTTTAGAACCCCTAGGTCCCTAGTCGGAAAGTGAAAAACCGAATGCACCAGATTTTCTCGAACAATGCTTTATCTCATTTTTCAGTGAAATGTTAAAGTTCATCAACTGAACGGAAATATCCTTGCAGCGAAAGTCCGGCGCCAAAACGTCCCACTCCAGTCGACCAGAAACATCACACAAGGCGATACTCACGCACTTTTATACCCTATATGCACAGAAACATTTAAGAATACTTTACTATGCGAACACAATTAAACGTTCAAAAACAAGAAATGGACATTTCATGGGTTAATTGTATGCGGCATGCGAAAAATGAATGATCCTATGGCGCATAAGATGAAAATGCACAATTCCTCGCCAATCATTCCAACAAGATATGTTGAAAATTCGGTAATCATGGATGGATGAATGCAATAGTTTCGATGGAAATGCGGTGATCAAATTCAAACTTACTTCGGCACCACTCTCAGGTTCGGTTCTTATTCCGGTGTCGTCTATCGGACGTCGTTTTGTATCAGTTGCACCTTCATTCGCTTTTGGGGGTAACGATCCAGCACGAATATCCGCTAAGGTTTGCAGCTGAAATAATCGTTCACTGTGGAGTGATATGCACAATGTGATTCATTGCCAGTCTTTGCTTCCGAAGCTCCAATTCGGGGTACGTGGAACGACGTTCGCATCATAACTGCAGACAAATGCACTTCGCTGATAGATGCAAAAGATACAGAATGAAAACCTGATAGGGTAAGGACGGATCAATAGGAGGTGGTCCGGGTAGTTTAGGTTCGGCAGCGACCAACTGCTCATGGAAAGAACGTGCTAGATTGGATGGCGTCCTGGGCAGTGAGGCGGCAGCGGCCGTGCCAGCTCGAGCTGCTGTTCGACCGGATAGTTGAGGTGGTGATGCTGCTGAGGTTGACTGCAATTCAGCGAGTAATAATGTTCAGGGAATGAATGTTCGCATACTAGAATGGATATTTGAGAGAGCTGGAAAAATGAATGGGTACTTTTGTCGCCATTATCAACGGATAAAATTTCTGACTTTTTAAATGAAAATTTGAGNTGAATGATCAATTGATCAGCGCGTCTAAATGTTATCGCAAATTATCAAAACTTCGAACCGGTAGGTTTTCGGGTGATTGTATTTCGGCAGCCAGCCGGGTCTCTAACGTTTGCAATCGACTAACTAATGCTTGAACTTGTTCGAGAAGCTCACGATTGGCGTTCAATAATTGATGAGTTCGTGACTGAAATGAAGAAGCTTATTTTTGCAAATGTCGACAGTCGGAAAGGATCACAATCCATTTGGCCGATATAAATTTCTTCATTATCCGTGAATGATGACTGCACGAAACAATGTATTTGTGATTTAACTGTTGTGCCACAAATGCAAAAAAAAAACTTTCGTAAGGATCATAGAGTATCTTATGGAATATTCTAACTATTCTTCCAGCCGTATGGTTGTTTCCCCTTGCTAAGGATTATTTGTAACGTAGTAGCATCACGAAAGAAACGCTGTAAAGCGATTTACTTTCTCAAATGAGGCTCACTGATCATTATTACTGACAGACGCTCATTTCAGTTATTTTAAGACATTAATATGATGACTTCAGTGCAGATTGCTTGAGGAAATAATACAACGAATATTGAAGGTGATCGTGAAAGATGTGAGAAACGTGACTGCTGCTGTAAATCACAAACGCCCTCTTACTTGTGCCTCAATGCGAGCCGTCGTTTCGCTGGTGAGTTGATCTCGCAGCAACTGCACTTGACAGCTTGCCACTTGTGCCGTTTGCTGTGCTTGGTCCAGTTGCGATCGTATCAAGTGTTGATTATACTAAATCAGATATATTCTCATGCTAATCTCATATTCATGTCCAATGCTTATCCGATTGCAAAACAGCAATCAAACAACATTATTTGCTTGAATCACTCGAATGACATCTTCATTTTTTGATCGCAGAAGCCATTCAACCCATAAATGAAGATGTTAGCGAAATGATTGCATAATGACTGGCTCCTTGAAAATGTATATGAAGGAAGTAACAATGAATGTGATAAGATACTTGAGCAAAGGGTTAGAATGCTGCAAACGATCTTACCTGATCAAGTGACATGCTCAGTTGTAGAGCGGTGAGATCTCTGCCCTCCCCAGGGCTAGAAGGGATATTTTGGTCGGATGTAGGCAATTGCTGCGCAGAAGGATTTTGAGGTTGTGAGGGTAATGTTGCGTACGGTGATAACATCATCGGTGAGCTTAATCCGTATGGCATTGAGGCCGATGGAGCCATGACGGGCATCTGTAGATGCACATATTTTGCTATTTCCGACTGATCAAAGTGCCTTTTGAGTTAGAGAAAGTGTCTTCAGCAAACAACAAGGAAAACACTTCAAATTAGTCAAAATCATGAATCGTATTCAACAAAATGGAAAACCGAGTGAAGATGTTACAAAAATATTACAAAAAATATTATTACAAAAAGAAAACCGAGTGATATTACAAAAAGAACGAACTGGATAAAAAGGTACGGTAGCTTGCACACCACGTTGATCAAGCGATTGCGCAGACTGGCATTGTCCTGTTGCAAACTGCGGACTCCACGTTTGCGAGTGCGGTAATGTTGCCGACCCCGAGACAACAGGATAACTTCAAAGAATTAAAAACGTTCAATTTTCGGTTATGAAAAAAGTGTGTAAGCGATGCAAGAATTCAGAGCATTCATTCATTTCATATTGAACGGTACAGTCTCAGGTTAATATCGTCCATAGTTTCAGGAGTTGCCGAAAACGANAAAAAGTAATCTCGCCTTCATTTCATAAGAGGAACAAATTACCCACCACCTAAAAAGCACGAGTACATTCATTGGGATCTGATTGTTCATGACTGTTTGAATCAGCTGATGATGTGAGATATTTGTGCGCATAGTACGCATCTACTTTCAGGGTTATAAAAACGACTGATGTTCACGGGGTAATAAATTCAAAAATGAACACACCTGGGAAGGAGAACGTTTGGATTCGCAGGTAAAGCACCGAACATTCCCGGAACCATGATTGGACCCTTTGGTTGTTCGGTAGAAGTGCTTGGCTGAGATGCATCCTTGGATGATTCCTTCAACGATTCTCCGCGGGAAACACTCGGCGTCGCAGCAGTTGCTTCCACTGCTGCAGATGTTTGTGGTTCCTCCGAACTCTTTTTACGAGGTGGTTGGAACTGAAAAACAACAATTCGAATACGATTACAAAACGCGCCCACAGTCAGAACTAATCCTAATCATTTTCCTCGCCATCGGGACATAAATCACTCAGTTCATCAGAATATCCAGTGGAACTTTGCTCTGGCGATGAACGAATATGTTTAAAAAAAANGTCTTGATCACAAAGAAATTTTTAATGAAACAAGTGCAGTCAATGAGATCTCATTTGCATTTTTAATCTATTCAATGGGCGTTTAGTAAGGCGCTGAGCTTTTTTTAACAAAAGGAACTGATCATCATTTTGTTTCTAGTCGTACACTCATCTGTTGAATTTAGGATGTGACCTGGAATCGTACGAATATTGGTCAGTGATAAGCGATCGATGAGTGACAAAATCAACGAAACGTAGTATTTTCAGAATGTATAGTAAATTTGTATTCAGTCGAAACAGAGGGTTCTGCTGAGCGCTTTGTGAAGCTTATTACAGCTCTAAAAATGATGAGGAGTTGAAAAAAGTGGCACTGAAGCGAAAAGAGGAAGGCAACACGGAAGATGACAGCGGGGCAAGAAGCAATTAAGTGAGACAGACTGAATGTTCTCTGGCAAATGATCGTAAAAACTGATCGAGTTCTAGCTCTCAACAGTTATTCCAGTTCGACGACGATGAGCTGATGGTGA